CGCGTCGGTCGAGATCGCTCGCGCTCGGCCGGCTCCGATAGCGTTCGCCGTTTGCCCGCTCGACTTCGGTTTCATTCGGCTAATCAACGTGCGCGCCGATCAGTTCATCATGAGCCGTCGAGCGGCTCGCGTCTTTTAAATTTATAATTTATTGTATCTCTTTTGTTTTTCGTTATTTTGCTAATTCCTTTACTCGTGGTTAGCCGCTTCTCGCGTTACTTGTTCGCGAATCGCTCGATCGTGGGCATGTGTCGATGAACTTTAAGTTTATTGGATACTTTCTTGGATATAACGGAATACTTGGTAAGTTTTCAAACTTCCCAAACAATCATCTGTCGCGAAATAATTCAGTCTGTAAACAGTTTGTAAACAGTATTGTATTTCTGAAATCGTTGTGCAGTCATTTTCACGTACGCAGTTGAAAATTACAGGTTGGCCTTTGTTGGTCCGTACAGTTGTGAGAGGAACGTTTCCATTGTGCCGATTCGAAAGTCGTATCGTTCGTGCCTGTGCGTGGCTGGTTCGCAACCGGAGTATATGTCCTTGCAGGCCGATGCATCTGAACCCGAAACAGGATGACAGAGGTCCTATAATTTTTCATTAGGGTGTGAAAGGAAAAAAGAATCTCGTTTACGGTTTCACTTTTCATTGACCAACCTCGCGACCGTTTGAAAGGTTTTACGAGCAGAATTACGTTATGTCGTTTGCAAGTGAAATCCTTGCCTCTATTTAAACGTTCTACTTTCTACCGGCGCGCGGCGTTGTGCCGTTTGCTTCCTTGCGTGAAAATTGTCTGTAATCGATCTAACGCGTCTCAGGAATCCACGAAGAACGATAATAAAAGTGGCAATTTCTAAATTCGTATATTTAGACTCGATAAGCGCGCGACCGAGATATTTGTTGCATCCGATGCATCAGCGAACGCGATTATACGCTCAATGATTGCGTATCCACGCTAGAATTCGAAGCCTTTAACATCAGCGAAGGCCGTATCGCAGAAAAATGATTAGTCAGTATCGCTCGAAAATTCATCAAATCGCGTGTGCGTATATCTGACAGGGCAACGACGCAGAAACTTGTAACCCAGAGGGCATCGATAGCTTCCATTGATTATAAATATTTTTCAAGAAATAATCTTCAGTGCGTATGCAGGCTAAACAATCGTCGATGTCAAAAGGTCCGATGCAAAAATCGCTGTCAAAGGTCGACGATGCAATATTCGTGGAATTAATCGAGCGACGAATAATCACTTGGCGCCTGAAATTTTGTATTTTGTCTCCGCTGACAGTTCATCTAGAAAATCATGCGTAGTTAGCATGCGTGCATGTATTGGACTCTGATCACAATTGAGAATAATTATCTATTTTAAGATTCTGTTAGAAACGTAGGAATGCGGTCTTACGCAAGCTTCGTCGAGAGCACATTAAGTTTCAATTCATTTTTTTTTATAACATTGAATGGGAACACGTAACACGATACTCCCATAGTAATTACCGTAATGAGTCAACTGAACCATACGTATAACAAAGAAATGCGGAGGACGTTGCACCGTACCGAATTTACATGAATCCTTTATTACCGTTAACTCGGAATTGTCAAGCAATTTCAACTGGGACGTTTCCGTACTCGGAGAAAGCACGGAATCACCACGAATTTCAATCAGATGCTAGACCTTTTTTTATAAATATAGGCCACTATTCTTTCGATGTTTTTCTCTAAATAGTTCGTTGGAAATTATTCGCGTAAAAGTTGGAGAGAAAGTGCGATCGAGCATTTTCTAATTGTCCGCATCCGCTGGAAAAATAGTGGCGATTACTCTCGTGCGTGCGTTTAATCGCATGATTAATGGTTTTATCTCAAAGTTTAATCTTAAATTGTTAAATTATTGTACTTTCCAACGAATATGAGCAGAAACTTCGACAGTGTAAATTCTTCCCGTTCTTCATTCTCTCTTTCGTTCCACGCGCTAACGATCTCGCCTTCGGTTTCATGCGCTTTTCGAAAATACTTTCGTTGAATCTTTGTACATACGCTTACTTAAAACGTTACGGAATCCTGCGATGATACGATCAACCTTAAGCTTCAAGGGTTGCTTTAATTAAAATGAGAAATCGTGGCCATCAATTCGTGACGAAATTAGGTAGAAACTGGTCTTCAGAAACCTGATTTAGATTCTTTCCCCTACAGTTTCGACTGGTTTAATTATCTTTCCGATGAATTCGTCGACACTTCTCTTTGTTAAACAAGACTTTGTGTTAAACGAGATTTTGTACAGCACAAGCACTTTCATAATCCACTTTCATGGTGAAGTGCCTGAACTAGGGGGAACGGTGACGACGATCAGGGCACAGTAGAGATTGAATTAACAGTGACAACTAATTGATTGATCCTACGCATGGTAAAACACGGTTCGCGTGTCAGTGGGGGAGTCTCACCTTGAACGTGTTATGCAAGCTGCAATTAGCATACGCATAGCTGGGTTGGTTAGGGTTTGTTCGGAGGAAAACTGCGTTCTGCTATTCGTCTAATGGACCGAACATAATACGGTGTCTCGTCGCTGCAATTAGAAAATTCCACGAAAGCGTTTCTAACGTAGTGCAGCCTCTGATGCACTTTTTTTAAACCTTTGCTATGTCCACGTTCTAACGGTCATCTAATAGAGCAATTACGCGTCTCGTGCAACACGTTTACAGTTAATTCATGCACTGATATATGTATATCTTTTTTAGTGGCGAAGGTATATAAACATAAGTGACTACAGAAGAAACGAAGGTTAAAATGTATCCTGAATGTTTGGTTTGAATGACGAATGACTGACGAAAGTTGTCCACGCTTCCACGGATAAGAATTGAAACACGTACGAAATTGGTGGCGAAAGTTGTTGACATTATCCCTGGGGGAGCGCAGTTATGGTTGTGACTCCAGCTACGTTTATTCATTATTCATGACGGGAACTTCTCCGTAATTATACATTTTAATGGTTTGTACCGTTGATTCCTATAATGTCGCCATTGAACCGGCATCGTTCACGAAGACGCGCACGGTGCGTCTATTTATCCTGTGCAACCAATAACATATCGTACGTGTTTCGTAAATAAGTTGCTTATTGATAACAACAAGTACGACAAAGGAGTAAAGTAAATATTAAAATTTATGCTTTACAGGATTTCACGGAAGCCAGTATTAATTTATACGTTGACTGAGAAAGCAAGATTAAAGAAAAATATGAACGATGCATCGTCTTATAATAGCAAGCCTCGAACGAGTTTAGCGCTTGATATTTCTGTGAAGTAGGAAGGCTAGAATAGGTGTCTGTTGCGGAGAATGGCATAGAAAAGGTGTATTCTGTGACCATCGTTAAACTGGATACTCGCAACGCGATACTTTACAACTGCACGTTGTACAAGTTGACTTTCGCGTCGCGAAACGGCGGTATTATTAGCATACGTTCCTCGATGCGGCGTATCATACGCGTGGAATGCAGAAAAACTCGCAACCACCCAATTGGTACACGTTCCACGATTTTCGGCTGCGGATTCCGGAGAAATCTCGCTTGTTTGGCATTAAAGCCTCTAGTATTTATAACTTGTACTCTTCCGTAAACATTTGCAACGACGCAATCGCTCGGGAATGCAAGAACTTAATGATAGAAAGATTATCCCTTCGATGATGCTATGGAATATTTATTATTCGAGCTGTGGAAACGTTTGCGACGTTAAATGATTTTAGAGACGTTAAGAGACACCCTGTAGATCCAAAGCAGGCTTCGGATGCAACAGGTGTTGTATGTACCGCAGCTGGTGCGTTCTTGGAAGGACTGCATACCGTAATCTCTTGAAATTTTTCGAGGTATAAGCGATTAGCGACAGCTGGGTTCACAAATATACTGCGACTAAAATTTGGTACTGAATATTTTTGACTAAAAACGTAGAGATTGATGTTCATCCTATCTTGATGTTCTGCTGTACAAAATGTTGACTTTCCAGGAGTACCTTAAGCCCTAGGTTCCTAGAAACACGAGAACAAAGTGGCAACGAAGTGCCTCTACTTTCTTCTACGTCAGTGATGAACGTGTAATGACGAGAAATCATTGTGTCAACCAGAATCCAGTTCTCACGAGTTCCGTAACGAGTGCGTGTAGGACGAACACGCGAGCGACACGAACGATTCGAGATCACGACGAAGAATGAACTGCCAGCAAAAAGAGGATCATAGTACGGTGGTTAGGCAGGGCAAGTGATGGAAAGTCACGGAAAGGTTCGATTCGTTGGGTGTTGGTTGTGGGTTCGTGGCAACCAGTGGTACACACGGAGGACAGACAAATGCTCCGACCTCTTTGTGGCTACGTGGGAGGAATAGGAAGTCGTGCATTAAATCCGAACCTCCAGCTTTCAACGCTTAAACGCTTCTCAAATAGAACGTACAGGGATACCACCGGCGTGAACCGGCACGGTCCGCGCACAAAAGCGAGATCGTGATTGCGCTCATTTTTCAGTTAACACACGGCAGAAGGAGGAATTCACCTTCTTTCTTAGTTAGCCTCTTTCTGCTCGACTCGCTTCGAAACCATAGTTGCCGCGGTCACGTGTGTTCGACTGCTTTGCTATTGAAATTCAACTGTTTCGTTTCACGGTTCACCTAACGAACGTAATCAATTTTATGGAAGTCTAAATCGATACGGTTTATAATTAACTTGTATTTAAAAGGTATGGGAACTGTGTAAAATTCCTGCGTTATATGAACTTCGATTTGGAATATGGAATTTCATTAGGTTTCTAATATGATGATAGATCTAGAGATAACGATCTACGTTACCGAATACGATACGGTACACACACGTTAACTTCTATTTCTTCGCAACGCGTCAATGCACGCACGATCTAATTGAATATACCGTGGTCGAGAAGTGCGAATAGTGTCATGTGTGAGATGATGAAACGCGAAAGGATTTAGCCTTCGTATCCAAGGCTGACTGCTCGATCGCTGGAACAATCGTCTGCACTTTAGCCGGTTCTACCAGAGTTTGCCGATCCACTTGAGGAACAATTAGCCATCGATAGCTCGTTAGCGTTTTATTTGTTTCGTTGGACTTTTTCCATGAAGCAGGGTCGATCAGGTAGAATTTCTCTTAAACGTAGTGGAATTTCTCGTAAACAACGAGGAAGGGTTGGAACCTTGCCATGTGGAAAGATAGAAAGTTTCAGATAAACAAACTTCACAATTTAGGAAAGTAAAAAACTAAGGGTGTTAACTTTGATACCTCGAAGATTCAGAAAAATGACAACCTAACGTATGTTGCAAACTTATAATCGGCAGGAAGCGATTTCCTGAATAACAAACATACTCTCTCCTCCGCATACGTTACCTATATTGTACACGGTATATTGTTTGCAATTATTTTATCCATGAACGCTCGCCTGATTGTGTAATCGAGACAAACCAAAGAATAAAAATGCATCGAGGCATTTCTCACGATCCACGAACGGTGAAAAGTCGTTACATCCGTGATTACGTAAACCTTTTCGCGAATAAAACCAATGATTTTTTCACATCTAATAAACTTTCTTTATAAATTCAAGGAGTAGAAAAATCGATGCAAAACTGTCTGTTTCAAGCGTGACCATTTTTCTTGTTCCAGGTGAGTTAGCGACAATCGTAGACCGACAATATGAGAAACTCAACGCTGCTGAAATGGGCACAAAACTCAGCAAACAGTAAAAACCAAACGAGTAAGAATGGTAGGTAACTCGTACGCCCGTTGTATCGTTAGATCGTATACGAAATCGATGAATTCTGTTTGCAGGAACGAATAGGAGCTGGATACACCCACCGGACGCGCTCCAAAAAGGCCACATCGCCTACTTAGTCAAGGTACAAATAGCTTTCATCGTTAAAAATTCACGCAGACATCAGAAGAATAAGATATCTGACAATATCCAAACGGAGGAAAGTTTTAAAAAAATTGTCTTATCGCTAACGGAGTAGTCATAAGCGGGTGTAACAGCGATACAAGGTTACTGTTATTGCAAGTATGAAAGAAAAACGAATCTGGATCACGACTTTGTTCAGTCGATAATGCTTTGAGGCATTGATCTTTCTTGAGGTCAAGCTCACGATATTCTCGTATTCGTTGCATCAAATTGATAGTCGATGTAGGACAAACGTGATATTTTAAGGAAGCGGAGCTGTAAAAAATTAACAGTCTGTTTAAACTTGCTGCTTGATAATCTTTAGATGATAACAAATGATATGATAATTGTATGGATATTAAGAGATGATTTAGTATTCTGTAAGAGAATCAGATAAATAACGTTGAGTCATTAAGAATTTTCCCTAGGCGTGAAATTTGAAAATAAGTGTCTTATCATATATTGTCATAACTCTACAAGGTCGCAGCTTGTTAATTATTTGTGTATATTGAGAAGAATATTTAACACGTTGGCACGTGGGCAACGATGACCCAACGATGTTTATCAGACACGCGACTTCGAAAAAAATTATAGGTGGAACGCGAAAACATAATTAATAATCAAACATTATCGTCATATATTTAAGTTCCAATTTTATTCAAATACAGTGTTAAATATCCCGTGGACGTATGTATAGCCTTGATCGTTGATCTCGAGGCCACGTATATCGTTGCTCCGTTATTAATCACATTTGTAGAGCAATGCTTTATGATAATTCTTGCAAACGTGAGGCATAAGCAGGGAAAAAGTCGGCTGAATAATAAACGTATAACGCAACTTGTACATGTACACAGTTATTGTTGATTCGTTTCACTTTATTTATAAAATAAGGCGTTCGGATTACAATGTGTGGTGAATTTCAGTACTTGGGCAGCACAGAAGTGGATCAACCGAAGGGCATCGAGGTCGTGAAAGAAGCCATTTGTAAGTTGAAATTCAATCAACAGTTGAGGAAAAGCGAGGGTACGAAGACGCCGAAAGTAGAGCTCACTATAAGCATCGATGGAGTGGCAATTCAAGAGCCAAAGACGAAGACTTCGCCAAAAGTATTACAACTTTCTATGTATTTATAGTACTAAAACATTGTTCTCTCAAAACTAAACTATATATTTCTCCAGCGGATTATGCACCAGTATCCCCTGCACAGAATATCTTACTGCGCAGACGACAAGGGCGAAAAAAAGTTCTTCAGCTTCATCGCGAAAGAAGAGGACGCTGAAAGACACACGTGTTTCGTCTTCGTCAGCGACAAATTAGCGGAAGAAATCACGTTGACGATCGGTCAAGCGTTCGATTTAGCTTACAGGCGGTTTCTGGAAACTTCCGGCAAAGATTTGGAAACTCAAAGGCGTTGTATGATACTCCAACAAAAGATAAAGCGACTGGAACACGAGAACAATGTGTATCGTCAACGGTTACAGGACATAGCTGCTATCAAAGGATCGGTCAGTTGGAGAAATGTAACATTCTGTTCTTTAAATGTAAACGATATTTCATGAAAATGACTTTCTGCAGGCTGACGTATCAGCTTACCTGTCGCAACACAATCTTCCGGATATATTGCACGTAGCTGGTGCTTCGAACGAGACAGCGCAGATAAATGGATCGAGTAACAAGTCTTCTCTAGGCACGAGTAGCGACAGTAATGGAAATAATACTACCAATGGATCACAACCGCCTCCAGTTCCTCCTAGAAGCTTCGAGAAAACCTTCGATGATAATTTTATGGGGTAAGTTTTCATCGCTAGGTAGATTTTTTTGAAAGAGTCTTAACTATTTTTCTTTTTAAATAGAAGCGAACCTACTCCCACTCCATCAGTTGGTACCAAGTTAGAAGGACTTTTGATGGATGAATTCGAGGAAGACTTTAATCCCAGAGCATACGAAAGCGCATCTAATGGAATTGTGAATCATCAGACTAATCATAATGCTCTTTTAAATGGCCAGGTTTCTTCGAATTCTAACTTCTTCTCACAAAGTAATGGCAGTACGAGTCCGCCACCATTACGTAAGTTAATTATCTGCTATCATCGACGAGGAATACCATTTATTTCGTTATGTGATTTTTCTCTTACCTTATTCAGTGGCCCCACCACCCAAAGCTAAGGATTCTAGGCGTCAAAATGGAGTGAAAGAGGACCTATTTGGCAGCGTTCCGTTCAATCCTGCACCACCAATGAACGCGAAAACTGAATTCAATGATCCATTTGAAATGGGTGAATTTGGTGCAACGACGGCGATCTCAAATCCCAGTCAGCAAGAATTAGAAAATGCTATTGGTCTTTTAGATAAAAAGTTGCTGGAAATGAAGGTATAGCTTGAAAGCCATATCAATTCGTAGTTTATTGAAGTGATCAATAATTCGTACGATTGAATTTCAGGATGGTTTTAGTAGAGGTCTTTCCATTGATACCGACGATTTTTCTTTGGAAAGCTTGGATCCTCTAAGGAACTGAATCGTAAACTTCTTTTTTTATTACCGAGATAAAGGGAACAATCGATTGTTCATTAGCGATCATAAAACTACAGAGAATGAATAGGCAAATTAGGAATTACATACATTTATACGAAACCAAAATTAGTCAATTACTATTACGATTATGCTAATCTTATATTTATCGTAACGTTTGATATTTATCGTATGCCTATTGAATATTGATAGTAGCTGAAGTCTCGATACAGAGATGGTTTATCGTGAAAAAGATACAGAAAAACAAATGGTATTAATACTCAAATGATCCTTTTATTAATACTGTTTGTTTTCTTTTAGAAAAGCTCGGATTTTATTGGATTAGAAACAAACAGTAATATAAACTGTTTTAGAAGAATCTCCTGTTACAATTCGTATAAAGGATAGTGAGAAAAAATTGAGCATGTTACTCTGTTACAATATACTATATTACTACATCCACAAATGAAGGAACAAATTATTGTGTCTTTCTATCGGTGTTTAATGAACTGAACTGGAAGTGCCTTTAAATTTCAGAATGTCAAATTTTATAGACAAATCACATTTGTCACCGCCAAATTTATTTAATTGAAAAATGTTTAAGGATACAGATAGTTGTTTCTATTACCGTAGGATTCAGTTAAGAGAAATTAATAATATATTTTTATGCAAATATATTATAACTTAAGGTCGTAATAGCGTCTGTACTTTTTTCCGATGTAAGTCAGCGGACCACAAAAAAATGAAATACTAACTAAAATAGCAATAGAAATAATTCCTATTAATAGACGGATGTACGTTTAATATCTGAATCCCTTGTATCGAACTCGTGCTTTATCTTGCTTTAATTGTTCTTCCACTCTATGTTCTAATCACTCCAACGAAAAATGTTACTGGTCTGAAAAATTTCAGTCATGTTTTACAGACATTACACTTTATGCTGACAGTACAGATTGAATGCTACATAATCTTGAAGAGCATACAAGTTAATGTCTACTATAATAAGAAGATTATTAATTGTGTACATATCAAATGCTGTTTTATTATTGTTGCTCTATTGTTTAAGCATTATCGTTAACAATAAAATGCGTGAATGATATAATGATAAAACTGTATTCTTGAAAATCAGATAACTTTTAATTTCACCATAATATTTTTGTAAAAATAACTGCATATTAAATTTAATGTAGAAATTTATTTAAAAATATTTACAACCCCTGCCGATACATAGTCTTCCTTCTATATCGGTAGAATTCCAAATATATAATTCTGTAGAGTACCACTAAATGGCGTTGTTCGCACTGTTTTCACAGTCGATAACATCTTTTTCACTTTACATTTTATTTTTAACGCCATAAATATATATAATTGCAGTTGCTTTTATTACGTATACATAATATTTTGTGCGCTTAAGTAATGAAACAATCGAGTAATAAAAAAATATTTGATGGCGCAATATCATCGATCTACCATCAGATGGCTATAGTATCTGATTTTCTCCACGTGGACACATTATCATCTGATCAAAACCTAGTAATAATTTTAACGTTACATACATAAGTATTGTTGCACCTCCAGTCATACGTATATCCATCAATAATTTTATTATCTCTTATTGCTTTTAAAGAATCTCAAAAATTGCATACTGGAATACCGACGAAAATCAACAAAATATAATTGAAAGTTCGTCCAAGAAGTGGCGCTATCATCGTGAACGTGGCGCGGCACGCGCTGCGTCAGTATTCCGCGAGCTTCCATCGCGTTCTGTTGGAGTTTGGCGTTGGCGAAGAAACTGTCCTGTTCGGTAGTGAACTGCGAAGAACGAAAAAAAGTGCTTTTTCCACAAACTAAGATACAACGGATAGAAGGATGGCGGACGACAGCCACGAGAATGGCACTAGCAACGGCGATGTGCCCGAGATCGAGTTGATCATCAAGGTGAGTTTACCACGCGTGTAGTAAAGACAAGGAGGAAGGAGAAAGAGATAGGAAAAAAGGCAATGGTTTCATGCACGATATGGGCGTGGAACGAACGACTGGTTTCTTCCTGTACTTTCCTCTTCCTTTCGACGTTTCTTCTTCTATTCGATGATCGCACGAGCGCCGCCCGAAACAAACTTTACGGCGAAGATCCGTGATGCATCGTGCGCCGCTTTGAAAATAGAGAAGCCGCTCAGTGACCATTGACCGTTGGTTCGTTTGTTCGTTAGTAGCGTCCAGTTGCTTCTTCAGCTGTCTTCCTTTTTCTTCACCCTTTCCGTACTCCTTACTGGATCGATTCTATCGATCGATCGATTGTCCGAAATCCCAATGACGATAACTTGGACTTTGACTCGTGGAATATGGTGGCGAATACCAGGCGTTGCGAAGCTTTTCATATTCGTCGATGACTAATTGCAAGCACAACGGACATCAACGAATACACAGAACAGTTTTTTTGCCACGAAACCGACGTAACGCCTGCGGAAGAATATACGCATATATATGTATTCATACATACAGGATCCTGAGCTGGCCGCGTTTCTATGTACGTCATTCACTTTTGTTGGAAGAAACCCTTGACTCTTATCTCGCGATACGTTTTTACGGTAGCACATTCTTTTCTCGATCATCGAGCTTGCCATTTCGCTCGTTTCTCCTTTCCTGCGTAATTTGTCAGAAAATAGAGACGAGTCGTTTGACGTCGACGATGCATTTGCACGGGCCGTATATTAATTTAACGAGATTAGAGCCGTTTATACATAGCGAAGCGGAAGATAAGTAAGAAAATAAGCGTTGGAAGGCTCTACTCTGCTCACGGTACATAATTGTTAAATGTTCATCGTGACGTGAATCGAAAATCCTCTTTAAAGATATTTACTGGATGGTTGTCAACAATAAAAATCTCAAGGAAATAATCATGAAATCTACAGGAAATAATCTCGAAAGCTAATGGTATCGACATGTACACAATCAAAAAGCATTTAGTCCGTCGACTGACAGACATTCGTAAGAGTTTGTATTTTTCTCCACGCTATACACATAAACAGTAGATTCATGGCAATCGATTTAATCGAGAACGAACTCGATTCAGCTTCTCGGAACTACTCTCTTTCGCCATATTTTCTTGGAAACGTCTCCTTAGCGGGAAAGAGGCTTCCTTCGATTGTCCAATTACGAGATGTCGATTAAACTTTCGCCAATCGAACTCGGCTCGCGTCAAACTCGATTCACCTGTATCGCTCCTAATCGAGCTTCGAACATTGTCACGCTAATCTTATCACGTTTACTTCTATCGCTTTGGGAATCCAGAAAACGGCGCGTGCTACAAATATTTCCAGCAAGCATGCTGGTAACACGTAAACAAATAAGTGGATGAATGTAATGAGGACCGTTCGTGTGAAAAGTCGATACGTTTCATTGAAGAATCTTTCTACTTATGTGAACGATGTTAAAATTGGAATCTTTGATAGGAGAAAGAGGTTAGTAATGTTTCGATTAATCGTTCTATTGATGACTTGCGTTCTGTTGCAAACACCGCATACTTTGCGCGGTTTATTTAAACTGCAGATTTATTTTGAAATGATCTGTTGCATAAAAGTTGTAAATTGATTGTTAAAATTTAACAATTATGACTTGGTTATTATTTCTTCTGACGTTTATACGCAATGAAAGTAATAAAACGATTTAATTATTAGGTTCGAGATAATTGTGTTATCGTGACTTGAACAAACTCGAGGTTGGTTTATGCCCATCGGTAAGTGTGAATAAAGAATTGAATGCACACGATCGTGGACCTAATTTTCATGCTTCAAATGCCGCTAGATCTTTCTGAAAAGCAAGCAGCAGATGAGAGCCTTATAAGTAGAATGGTGCAATAGCAAGAGATAGTCGAAGTATGTTTCATTACGAGAAGAGATTTAATGGTAACTGGCCGACCTTGCACTCGGAAGGCGATCATGCGAGGTCTTCGTAAGTGTGTCAAACGGGATGAAACGATGGGGAACTCGACGAGGTCCTCGAGATTCTACCGTTAAACGATGAACTCCTTTGCCTTCCGCTTTCCTCGCTCTTCTCTGCCTTCCTTTCTCCTCTGAATAAATACAGGTTTGCCTCTTTGTTCTTCAATCGACGATTCGATTCCTCGTTATCTTGAACTTTTAACCCCTTTGCTGCTACATGACAGAATAAATAACATGTGTATTAAATTTTAATTGTAGTCATGATTTGCAAAACCGAGAGGCTTGTGCATAGTATCCAACTTCAAAATCGAAACGAAAAACAACGAGGAAAGGTCATCGAAAGGGTTCAGCAAGATTGGCAGCTCATTCATGTTGTCCGAAAGATTCATTGAGTGACCGTACGAAAGGACGGTGTCGTTTATAAATAGGAAAATGCTCTAGGAACAAGATTATTCGAGGTTGCGCGCGTTGGAGGTAGGAGAAATATCGCGTGACCGAGTGCGGTTATAAAAAATCGATCGGATGTTGCGGCTTAATCTTCCGTAAGGTCATTACGAGCGTTGTCGGCCAGGAGTAACCTTGTATCTTCGAACAGGCTTCCGAAATCGTGCTCGAACAATGGAGCGAAATCGATGTTCTCGGAAGAAAACGTACAAATTTTATTTTCACGTGGTAGGATTTTAGCTTACCGGGCAGATCGATATCGTCGAGAAAACTGAAACTATCTAACATTAGGTTTCTTATGTCAGCGTTTATAGAAGTATAAATGTTTCAGCGTTTCGGAGCGAGCGATCGAGGAAGGTATTTTGAATTAACTGTTGAAGTTAAATCGAGAGAAGCTAAAGGTCGAGAAGATGAAGCGGAGATCAATTTTCAGTACACAAGAATTCTGGAGAGTAATTGTTCAAAATTTGATCAGTTGAATGTACAGATCGTTGATCAAATTTTTACGGTTTTGCAACAGAGAGAAAGGAAAAGCAACAGGCATGCGAGAGAGATTACCCGCTTCGTGACATTTGATCCAGCGTCTCGACGCTTTCCATGCCACTGATACTTCATGACACGGATACCTTTGCCAATTTCCAAAGTTGATTGAACTCGTAGCGATTGATTCTCATAATCTCACGATTTCTTTCAAAAACTGCTCTCGCTTATTGCGCTCCATTCATATATCGCAAACTTCATTTCCTACGCTTGCGAACGCGTTAACTATTTGTCCAAACTGTAGCCATTTAAATAGCAGGTGGCTAGAAGAATGCGTTTGTCAAATACCAACGTGTTCCTCTTTCTACCTGTAGCAATCATTATCTCGCTCTTTTATCTTGCCACTTGCGGATAAACTGGATAAGCACTATTATTAACCTGTGCCTAATAACTCGTATAACGTGTTTTCAAACGCCTCTAACTTTTAAATAAATCGCAAGTATCAAACTTATGGTGCTTTTCAAGTTTCCATTAGAGAGAACATACCTTTCTGAAATGAACTTCAAAAAAAAAATGCACACGCGAAAACATTACTAGTAAAAGCGCGTAGAACTGACCAGACACAAAATTGCTTCTGGCCTTGGTCAAAAAGTTGCTTGGCACAAGACACTGGAGGCTATTTGTTTCTCTTGCATCGAGGTATCATCGTTCTTAAAAGTTGGAGGTCAAACTTGCGTCATCGCGAAAAAAATAATCAGTACGAAATTGTTTCTTGTTCGCGATACTGCTGTTTGGAAATTCTGATATCGTGTGGCGCACAATTTAGAGATCCAAAATCACGACTCGAAGACGATTGTTGAAACCGGGTGAAAATAGAACGTTCTTGGTAAAAGTTGGCACTTTGCCAAAGGTACTTTACTCCTGATCGATTCGATACCTTATCGCTTCTTTGCTTAGTAGATTAATTTTGTTGACAAATATAATTGCTGGTTTCTGTGACGCAAGTGGCATAAGTCCGGTTATATATGCACTAAAGGGTTAATAATTACTCGCTGATTTAATAAGAGGTATTAGCGTTAATTGTAGCGGTCTAGGAGTTTCTTATTAGATTCGTTACGAAGAAAACTTCCAAGTATATCGTTGAGCAAGAAAGAAAGCAGGGTGCGTCACCGAGTAAAATAAATAAACCGTGACATCGAGAAAATGAGAGCGGAGCGAGTACGCTAGATACTCTCAGTTTACTTGATCAACTGGAGAAAAGTATCGCTGCTTGCTTCAGTCGTGTTTTCTGAACGAATTGTTTACTTGTAACGAACAACCATGCCCTTAGTCCTTTGTCTCGCAACCTTTTTCTCCAATTTATTTGTAGCGAAAGTTTAGAGTCTGATTTAATAATACCATGTAAGATTTAATAGTACTATATAAGAAGCTAATTAATGCATCATAAAATGACAATATGCACCTGTTTACAGGCTTCTACGATCGATGGTCGTCGAAAGGGTGCGTGTCTCTTCTGCCAAGAGTACTTCATGGATTTATACCTTCTGGCCGAATTGAAGACCATCTCGCTGAAGGTAACCACGGTGGACATGCAGAAACCGCCTCCAGATTTTCGTACAAATTTCCAAGCAACGCCTCCACCGATTTTAATCGACAACGGCGATGCGATATTGGAGAACGAGAAAATTGAACGGCACATCATGAAGAACATTCCTGGCGGGCACAATCTCTTCGTGCAGGACAAAGAAGTGGCTACCCTCGTTGAAAACTTGTTTAGCGTATGTTGGACATCTAAGATAATTAGTTCTTTTAATACTTCACCATAAGAAGTATTGTTATGAACTCAATTGTTAATATCTGTTACAGAAATTGAAACTTTTGTTGCTGAACGCGAAAGACAAGGATAAGGACCCGAAGTCTTCATCCCTGATGGCACATCTGCGTAAAATTGACGAACATTTAGGTCGTAAGGGTACACGTTTCCTCACAGGTGACACGATGTGTTGTTTCGACTGCGAGCTCATGCCACGACTGCAGCACATCAGGGTTGCTGGCAAATATTTCGCAGATTTTGAAATTCCGGAAACTCTGGTGCATCTGTGGCGATATATGCACCATATGTACAGGCTGGATGCCTTTTTGCAAAGTTGCCCCGCTGACCAGGATATCATCAATCACTACAAGTTACAACAGGTGCGAGATAAAGTACTAACTTTTCAGGCTGAAATGGTTTTCATGTTTAATGAGTTATACCTTTACAGAGCATGAAGATGAAGAAACACGAAGAATTAGAAACTCCAACGTTCACGACCAGTATCCCAATCGAGGTCAACGACGACTAGGCTGGACCTGTGCCGTCGGGTCTACGATCTCGTTACTTTGATTCAGAAAGATCGTCGATATATCGGTGTAAACGCGACGGCGCAACAAACCTTCTTAACGAAGTCCCAACACTTCCAACGGACGCTTCTGTTTAAGAAGAATTAATTATTTATATAAAAGTATTCGAGGGTGAAAGCACCCTATTAAAATTTTCATCGATGCCACTACACCGATTTATACAATATTTTCGCTACATGTATTTCATAGATAATCGTCGATGCACTCTTTTATGGCCTAAACTGATGCAGAACGAGTAGCTTTTTTACCGCAGGCGACAGGAAGATAAACATATATAAGTGTACTAAGGCTTCAAGGAAACGATATGCGTTGTATGCGTGTCCAGAAAACTATATGGATCCTTTCCTTTCTTTCCATGTTTTTTTTTCTTTTTTTTTCTCTTGTTACGTATGCATTTCATACGTACTCTTCATTCGAATAGCATTATTATTAGGAGAAAGCATTTTAATCTTTTACATATACATTAGGTCAGGACCTTGTGTGTTTTTAAGAAACAGTACGTATTTCGGTAACGAAGCGGCAAATGCAAAAGGGACGTATGCATTTGAATTGCGAGTATATGAAAATATCTTTTGTTCTTTTCTTTTTTATTCTGGAAAATCATAATGTATTTGTCTTACATCCGAATGATATTCAATAAAGTAACTTAACGATGGTTATAATTAGTTTTCCTCTTGCATTAATCTCTCTAAATCGCAGAAGATATTCTAGTCCATTGTACCGTGTACAGTATTTAAATTACAGAGACAAGATTTCAATTCTAAGTGCATACGTTTCTTCGATATAAAATTCTTTGTTAAATCTTTTGCGTTATTAACCATTGAAAATTATAATTTCAAAGATAATTATGAATTTCTTTGCAGATGCTGAGCTGGATAAGATAAACGTAATAATTTTTTGAACAGAGAGTGCTTATTTTTATTAATACATTTCAACGATTTAACAAATTCGATGTCTCACATTAGTAACTGTATTATTATTATTATTATTATTATTATTATTATTATTATTATTATTATTATTATTATTATTATTATTATTATTATTATTATTATTATTATTATTATTATTATTATTATTATTATTATTATTATTATTATTATTATTATTATTATTATTATTATTATTATTATTATTATTATTATTATTATTATTATTATTATTATTATTATTATTATTATTATTATTATTATTATTATTATTATTATTATTATTATTATTATTATTATTATTATTATTATTATTATTATTATTATTATTATTATTATTATTATTATTATTATTATTATTATTATTATTATTATTATTATTATTATTATTATTATTATTATTATTATTATTATTATTATTATTATTATTATTATTATTATAAATGATTATTACTATTATTGTATTATTTTGATTTATATTCCTAGGAATGAATATACCAGTATTTACATGGACCTTTAAGTTTACACATGTTCTCGTTTACGCAATTTATGCAAATTTAAAAGCCTTATATAAAAGAAACAAAAAATGTAACGGAATAGATCTTTCTTAACAACGTTGCTATCCATTCGTTCGTTTTAAAATAGCACGCGCTTTCCCCTTCCACTCGCATGTTACGACACGTCTTCCATTCATAAATAGGGAAGCACTTGTATGAGCGGCCATCTTGACTACGTGATCAAACGGACAATTTTTATTTTGATAGTTGCAACCAAGAAATCTTATTCTAATTCGAAAATAGGTAAATAACGTTTTTTAAATAAAATTATTTAAATCTATTATAATATTATTGATAAATATTATTTAATTTGCAGTAATTAGCTTTTATATTGACTTCCGTCGTTCAGTACGCAGTGCACAGCTGATCAGTGGTCCTAACGGACGGTCGCCGCTTGTCCGTGCTTTGAAATCTTTGAAAACGACAGAAAAGTTGCTGTTATCCGTATGATTGCATAGTGACAATTGGAATATTAATCTTTAACACGTGGTTGAAGTTGCACCGTTCGCCAAGTGTCTTTATTAAGTGTCCACAGTGAGCGGTTACTGTTCCTCGTTCATTCGACATTTCCAATGGTTGCCGTCCGGTAAGTTTTAACCATACGTTTTAAAACCGAATTACGGGTTAAAGTGACTATGTGTAAACCCGATTTAATGAACGGAGATTTCTCGTCCGTTAGTTGCTTCGTATATTTGTTAATGTTAATTACCGTGGAAATCAGAGAAACTGAAAAGACGCACTCTGACTTTTAGTTATGTTTGTTTCACGCGACACGAAAATACACCTACGTTGGAACGTGATCGAAATTATAATGTAGCGACAGTGAATATTTTAATAATCAGTTAACGCATAGAAAAGTTTGTCTATTAGTCGTTTCGGTAGTCGTGATTTCTAGACAGTGTTGCAACAACGATACGATAATATAGAATTTAGTTTTTAGTATATAGCCAATCAAAAATAAATTATCGTCGATAGCAACTATCATTTTTTCCGTTGATGCAACGTGCAGCTTAAAAGCATTTCGTCAGACTATACTTATTATATGTTTATCGCTCCGTTTAATCATCGCGTTCCTTTTTTATTTACGTTCATATACACATTGTCATCGAAGCTAACCTGTAAGACGTCTCGTACGGAATAGACGCGTTGTTTCGATTAAATAATCATTTTCGGAAATCAAGTAGAATTCTATTTTATCGAGCGTGTCCCCATGGTGAATCGATAGAATTTCTAAACCACCGATTCTCCTTTCTGTGACCTGCTGTCTAATTTGAAAACCACGTTAGTCAATCGAACAGTCCAGTTCGTGCAAAGTTCGAATAAACATAAACAGTATTACTTAATAGTAAAAATAAAAATAATTATAGGCAACCTGCAATGTTTATGCGAGACAGCATAGCATTTACAAGTTATGTAATCGTTAATCGCTCCGCGACAGTTTCTCTGTAAAATCGATCGGTCCTTCAAAAAGCACATTAAAAGACTGAAATGAAATTTTTTGGCACACGCGGAAACGCGATTTAGAGGTCGACGATATTTATAATAACATAAAAGAGCTGTTTGGAGAATCGAGTTCGAGCAATAACGAACTTTACGAGGACACGTGAATTATCGCGAGCGTAAAGAACCGGTGTCCGTATACATGCGTACGCGCACGTAAAATCGTTCTCGTGTTCGCGCGGTAGTTCTTGCGTTATGCTTTTATTAATCGTTAGACTGTGCAATCCTACTGTGTATTAGGAATAGAAAATTAATTGATCTTCGATTTATTTTTAAGCATAAAGACATAAGGAAAAATTTGAATCTCTTCCCAGAATACGTGGCAGTGAACGCCGCTTACGCGAAAAAAAGTACAACATTATTTTCAGGATAGTGTTTATTTTTGCCTCCAAGCGTAACTTATCGTAGCTCTGCTTAACGTTAGCGTTGCGTCCCTCGTCAATTATTATTCTTAGTTCCTTATTTTTGTCTGCTAAACTCGACGCACTTTTTTCACTGTTCGGTAGTTTTTAAACAATTCGAGAATCTTACAGATTTTAAGGCTGTTCGAAATGTATACATAGGGAATATGGCGGCAGCATAGCGAAGCAACAGGTGTTAAGCGGAATTGAAGATGCGCTATTACATTCGTAACGACCGTTTGCCCTCGGAAACCTATAATAGTAGAAACTTTGCTACTCGGGAAGGTAGAAAGCTCGCAGTTTGGAAGGTTACCAACTTTGTCACTTAGGAAGGGAAAGCTTGCGTGTTTGCCACCTGGGAAGTTAGAAAGCTTGGAAAGGTACCAACTTGGAGAAAAATTGGAGAGGTTCCGAAAAAATCTGCGAAAGCTAACCTTGCCATATAGAACCACATCTTTGAAAGTAGAAATTTTATCGGAAAGGAAGCTCGATAAAATTTTGGAGTAAGAAGTAGCTTTTTCAAGCGGCAAAAAGAGACGTCGAAAATTATTCCAAATGCGTGAAAATACTCGTGGAATTCGCTTTTCCCCGCATTGCCAGGAGCAGACGAAAACAGCCACGCTGTGTCTCCTGGGTATTTCATGACACAAATATCTTCCCGGCATGTTGGAATTCAGCTTTTCCTTTTTCGCCTGTCCCGACGAACCTCGCTCTCTTCTTCCCCTCTTAAAATCTCCTCTGTCACTGATGGAAACATCCTGCGTGTCCGTCTTTCTGCTGCAATTAAAAGATACTCTTGATCCACCTCCCTCCGCTCCATAAACAAGTCCACGCGTTTTTCAACGGATCTCGTTTAATTTATCGGACCCAGTTAACCGTGGAAAGTTATTAATTACGTACTCGATTTTCACCGTAACGCTTCTAGGAAAATAGTTGGCACTTCGGAAGATTCAATTGCCAATACTCGTCGCGTTAAAATTTAAAAACACTTTTTAATGCTTCTTGGTTTGAATATTAATTCTTTATTTTATTTTTTTTTATTACTATTCTCGTAATAAAATAGTAAGTTCCTTATTGCTATTTAAAGCTTCTTCGTTTGACTATTAGTTCTTTATTTTATTTTTTTTTATTACTATTCTCATAATAAAATAGTAAGTTCCTTATTGCTATTTAAAGCTTCTTGGTTTCACTATTAGTTCTTTATTTTATTTTTTTTTATTACTATTCTCATAATAAAATAGTAAGTTCCTTATTGCTATTTAAAGCTTCTTGGTTTCACTATTAGTTCTTTATTTTATTTTTTTTTATTACTATTCTCATAATAAAATAGTAAGTTCCTTATTGCTATTTAAAGCTTCTTGGTTTCACTATTAGTTCTTTATTTTATTTTTTTTTATTACTATTCTCATAATAAAATAGTAAGTTCCTTATTGCTATTTAAAGCTTCTTGGTTTCACTATTAGTTCTTTATTTTATTTTTTTTTATTACTATTCTCATAATAAAATAGTAAGTTCCTTATTGCTATTTAAAGCTTCTTGGTTTCACTATTAGTTCTTTATTTTATTTTTTTTTATTACTATTCTCATAATAAAATAGTAAGTTCCTTATTGCTATTTAAAGCTTCTTGGTTTCACTATTAGTTCTTTATTTTATTTTTTTTTATTACTATTCTCATAATAAAATAGTAAGTTCCTTATTGCTATTTAAAGCTTCTTGGTTTCACTATTAGTTCTTTATTTTATTTTTTTTTATTACTATTCTCATAATAAAATAGTAAGTTCCTTATTGCTATTTAAAGCTTCTTGGTTTCACTATTAGTTCTTTATTTTATTTTTTTTTATTACTATTCTCATAATAAAATAGTAAGTTCCTTATTGCTATTTAAAGCTTCTTGGTTTCACTATTAGTTCTTTATTTTATTTTTTTTTATTACTATTCTCATAATAAAATAGTAAGTTCCTTATTGCTATTTAAAGCTTCTTGGTTTCACTATTAGTTCTTTATTTTATTTTTTTTTATTACTATTCTCATAATAAAATAGTAAGTTCCTTATTGCTATTTAAAGCTTCTTGGTTTCACTATTAGTTCTTTATTTTATTTTTTTTTATTACTATTCTCATAATAAAATAGTAAGTTCCTTATTGCTATTTAAAGCTTCTTGGTTTCACTATTAGTTCTTTATTTTATTTTTTTTTATTACTATTCTCATAATAAAATAGTAAGTTCCTTATTGCTATTTAAAGCTTCTTGGTTTCACTATTAGTTCTTTATTTTATTTTTTTTTATTACTATTCTCATAATAAAATAGTAAGTTCCTTATTGCTATTTAAAGCTTCTTGGTTTCACTATTAGTTCTTTATTTTATTTTTTTTTATTACTATTCTCATAATAAAATAGTAAGTTCCTTATTGCTATTTAAGGCTTCTTGGTTTCACTATTAGTTCTTTATTTTATTTTTTTTTATTACTATTCTCATAATAAAATAGTAAGTTCCTTATTGCTATTTAAAGCTTCTTGGTTTGAATAATATTAATTCTTTATTTTATTTTTTCTTATTACTATTTGTGTTTTAAACTTTGAAAACAGTTTTTAAAGCAGCTTCTTGGTTTAAATAAGGTCAACTCTTTATTTTATTTTTTCTTATTACTATTTGTGCATTAAACTTTGAAAACATTTTTTAAAGCAGCTTCTTGGTTTGAATAAGATTAGTTCTTTATTTTATTTTTATTATTACTATTCTCATAGTAAAATAGTTCCTTATTGCTATTTTTTATAGCCAAAAATCTTCCGTTCAGATACCAAAGTCATTCAGTTACCTGAACTCGTCCGTGAAAGGAGAATTTCCTAAAGAGTGAGATCAAAGTGACTCGTTGGCAAAGAGAGCGAATTCGGCAAAGATTTGCACAATTTGCGACGGGTCGAATTCGATACGCCGTTACGTTTCCGCATCGAATGTACCTGCCCACACGTGGTTATTTACATTTTCGTCATTTGCGTGTCGAAGAACCGAGCTTTGGCAAACTCTGCCACAAAGTCAAGCGAAGAAAAGTTCGCGAAATAGATGAACATGTCACGAGTCAGCACACACGGACTTAATGTCGTGTGAGTGATTAAAGGTTCGCTCGAGATACAAGAGTTGTTCGTTTGATGAGTGTTTTTATTTTTGGACGGTGTGGGTGTTCTCTACGTTACGCGTTTAGACTCCCCTTCAGTTTCACTGAATCATTTTTATGGTAATTCGAAGCAAGACTAAAATCAATTCTAAAAACCCTTTACGCTCGAGAGGTGTCACCGTTCGATTTGATACAATAATTTGAAACAAGCCCTTACACTATTTTGAGTCAGACGCACTCGTACTTCGGTCGTGATCGATTTTACTCGAATTTTTACGCTTCAAGTTCAAGTCCAATTATAATTTGCATAGTCGATTGCATAATAACATTGACATAACATTTCACCTTTCTTTATCTGTATTAATATTAATAGCTCTAATTAGTTCTGACTGACGCCCCATAGTGCAAGGAGTTAACTGATTCTACAGTACACGTGTGATGTACAGTGAAACAAACAGTAAAAATTATTAGTAGAGAAATAACCTCAGAATTTATTTCAATTATAAAATTGCTGTTCGCAAACAGTCAAATTACCTCCAAACCTTACGAATTAACTTCCCTTAAATATTCGAACAAGAAACCTTGGTCCCTTGCAACGCGAACGATTCGAAGAATCATTCTCGGACACGTAGGCGGCGACCATTTGGGTCTTAGAAGTTTGAGGAGATGGCCTGGATAGTTTAATGGTTAAATCAAGATCAGGGTTCGAATTCGGAATCGATCGAATATTTTTGTCCACCGGAGTTGATGTAGAAGCGCGCTTTAATCGACGCTCACCTGCCAGGTGCGAGGCGGCGGAAGAAAGAGAAGCAAATTATTAATTCTATCTAGCACTTTATTTCTCTGCGGTGGCTCCATGCCAAGTGCGAATTGCACGCGAACAGTTTCTAGCCTCTTAGTTTCTTCCGATCGAGCGAACGACCCTCCAGTTTCGCCAATCACTTTTTCTCCTCTGCAATCGCGTTTTCGTACATGATCGTTTTAATTGCGTTTTTGATCTTAATTCTATAAGGTCAGTTATTTAAACGAGGGTGTTGGCGCATGATATTTTATATTCTACAATCGCGTTTTTATTCGTACATGGTCGTTCGAGCGTTTTAATTGCGTTATCGAGCTTAATCCTATAAAGTCGGGTAATCGTGGCTAATCTTATAAGGTCAGTTATTTAAACGAGGGCGTTGACGCATAATGTTAATGGCGCATAATCTGCAATCGCTTTTTTATTCGTACATGATCCAAGCGTTTTAACACAAGAACTACCAACCAGTCAAACTGACTACTTCCAGATTTCTCATTTTATTGTAGCGATTTTATAGAAATGTTTGTTATATTTTGTTGAGGTAAAAACTAGTTCTATATGTTACTTGTTACAATTTATTTTTCATTCTTCAAACGAGCGTTTACTGTCGGTAGTTCTAGCGTTAAGTTTCGTAATTGCTGATCCTATAAGGTCAGTTATTTAAACGAGGGCCTCTTGGCGCATTCGTTGAATTTATTATAACTAGATAATTTGTCAAAGGGGGTCGACGGTAGAGAAGTTTGAAATTTGTCGAAATTTGAGTTTCGTGCGACGATGCACCTGCAGGAACACGCGCATGCGTGCACGCGTGGGAGCGTGGCACGCGCAATACCGAGTACCGGCTAATTATGTGGCACTCCTACGTTCCACGCGGCACAGGTGTCCACCGTTTCTTTGCTCGCTGCCAATTCCGTGATCTAACGGGTGCCTAAGAGTTACGGAAATTTCAAATCTTTCTCATAAAACTATCTTTAACGTTGCAATTTTGCCGATACTTTCTCTCCCTTCCTTCGATTCCTTATCGATTTCAAAATCGACAGATCGAACTGTAGACAAATTCGGTTTCCTCGAAAAATGGGTCAAATAGTCTCGGGTTTAAATAAAGAACGAGTCACGAATAGCCGAGACGCTTTCGTTTTCCTCCCTTTTGCGAAGGAAAAACTTTGCAGACGTAAAACTTAGAAAGAGGGAGAAAAATAATTGGCCCACAGGGAATCGCGGATAATTTATAGCTTACCAGAGTGAGTAGAGACTTTGGTGGCCTTCGCTATAATTACGAGGCCGTAACGCACGATCGCGTAATATTTCAATGAGTCTCGGACAAGCGAGACGATTTGCCCCGGCAGGTTCCACGGTCTTCTCCTTTTCATTTTATCATCGCACCTTTGTCTCCATTAATCGCATTCCCGTCCGCTCATCCGCAAACGAATAATTTGAAACATTTTCTCGCACCGACACCGAAACTGCACGAAACGTCGTATTTGGAGGCCATCCAAATCGTTTATCCACCAAACTACAAAATTTTCAGCAGATTCCTGCTCCTCGTTCTCCTTGGGTCGAACTATTAGTACCGAACTATGACAAAGTGATACGCGACGCGTTCGATTAGCGAGACCTCTTTATCATCTACTAGTTACACGATGTCTGGTCTGTAACGAGAGAACCTGGCACCCACAGGTAGGCCTTGCCAGGAGGATGGGGGCCCACGATGGGGGAGTGCCATTGCTCTAACATCGCTATCATGCAGCTGTTCCATGAGCTGAAGCAGCAGTTCCCTGCGCTCCCTGATCACGTCGTTTCCCAGTGCATCGCCCAGGTATAGGTGCTGTTTGTCCACCGGATATACGATCCTCTACTGTCCTGGGAACTCGATCCACGAGTTACGACCGTCTTTCAAAATCTTAACACGTTGACTGCCATACTAAAGCAATTTTCAATTGCATACAGGAATGTTTTAATTCTTGACACTGAAACTACCAAGCCAGTCAAATGACTGCTTCACAAGTTTCCTGTTATAAGATACACATTTTGTTTAAATGCATTCCTTAAAATCAGAATTGATTTTCCTCAAGATAGAGAATTTATGCTTAGACGTTTGTTTATTTATTTTTAACTTCAAATTAAGTACACATTACATGCTAGGTTATGTGGTAGGTTTAGTGTTAATCAATTTTTCCAAATATTTTCACAGTATCTTGTTACATTTATTTTCCATAGATCCATGTAATTAATGCGAGAATCTTTGATAACAATATATGTGGCAGTCAACGTGGATGTAACTAACAAAGAGCTAGTTAGTTACTTAAAGAGCAAGTAGCTAGCTAAGTTAGTTACTTAAAGAGCAAGTAACTAACCGTTGGATCGAGCGTCTCAACGAGGACTGATTGCACAGTGTGGGCTAGTAACCGTTTCAAGATCCTCTCTTACTAAGCTAGACACATCGAAATAACGACTAACCCCTCACGATAACCCCTCGCATTGTGAACTAACCTCCCATCCTCTCATTGCACGAGCGTGGAACCTGTGTGTTACGAACATCCTCTGTGTTGGATACATTTCTAATCAACGATTGAACTAAACAATCTAATCTCTAGTTCTAGGGGCTGGGAATTCTTCCGTGCTAACGATCCGGAGACTTCAGATCTCGTTTCGAAAAGCGAATTCTGTATTTATAAGAATATACTCGAAGTTAAGCGTTTCGACCACGGTTGCCACGAAATAATCCTCGTTTCTGGAGTTTGTAACTTGGAGGAGCCTCGAAGAGGTGGCAACCCTGGTTATGATCGTCGAAAAAGCGATGTAGATGACCGGAAATCGGCTGATCCTGTGCGTGTGCGTTGCAGAACAGCCACGATCGGGAGACATGCGCGAGAAGCCTCCGTGCCACCCAAGAGTCACGACAGTCTCCGGGCGCGTTTCCACCGGCGGCACTTTGCAGTGTCCTTCAACAACAACAGCAACGAGCAAACCTGGTCACGCAACAGCAGCAGCAACAGCAGCGTTGTTGCGCGATGAACCAAGCGCAACGAACCGGCACGAGCAACAACGCGCGACCACACAGGCCATCCTCGCTGGACATCGGTATGGCAAGACGCTGTCCTGTCAGCTGTACACGAGCCTCCTCGATTTCAGCGTCGTCGCCGATCGCGGCTAATCCAGCCACCCCTTCTTCGGCACCGGCCGCCTGCACGACGCGCGGTTTCTTCGACGATTGCGCGGCTCTCAGCGACGCGAATTGCGCGAACAAAATCCAGAACGCGGCAAACGAGCCAGCTGGATTCGAGCTGAACGTGAACGTTGCCTGCAGTCCTGCTGGCAATCGCGGTACGCAGTTAGCCTTCATCCTCTTGCTTTTCACGATGAACACCTTGTATGTCCGATTAACACTCTGATTGCCACGTCACCGTTCACTGCCACATCGTTTACTCAACCTGTTAGATTTATGGAAGATGCGTGGTTCCGTGGCACTCAAAGTATTTGCACAAATCGAATGCGCGTGACTGTACATTTGCATTGCGATCTTGTAACAACCGAACAGGTTTTCCTTCCGTGTGTATCGATGGCAGTGACGCTGTTTGCGTTACGCAATTTTGCGGTGGAGATCCTGCTTGTCAGTCGAACGAAACACTTTTACCTCATAGACTTTTGCTTCTAAACCGTCGACTTCTTTTGCTCGTCCTCAGGCAATTCTATCTTAAATACTGTTCTGATACCTCTTTTTTGATCGTAAATGCATAGACTTTCGAACGGTGCCTACGATAGCTGGTGCCTGTAAACGAAGCGATTTGGCCCTCGATCCACGGACTCATTACGCGGAGTCGTTACTGAACGTGGAAAACACGGGGCCCCAGATCGATCACACTCGAAGCTACACGTCGGTTAGCCTGACGTTGAGGCCACCGTCCTCGGAACCACAACCACCGATCGACATAAGATCGCAGGGCTCGAGTCTGACTTACTCGAGCTCTTCCCTGGATCCTCGGGGCTTTCAAAGTCGTCTCCAGATCAGCATCGGCGCTGGAACCGTTGGAAGCGTGGCGGCTGCAAGGATCAGA